AAATAGTTCTCTTTGAGAACAGAGGCAGCAATGGGCCTACGCTGTTTTCACTTAAACACACATTTGTTAGATGCTGAGCGTGGCAGCTGAACAGCAGCGAACCACCTCTTATCTCCAAATCCAGGCCATTTCACTCCTCTGCCCAGAGTCTGAATAACAAATATTCTACTCCTCCAAAGAAAACAATGGCATTGAATGAGGTAGAAGTATAAAAAATAGGATGGCTTGATTTTATGGACAGAGTTTCATATGATATATCACAACTTGCCTATTTCTTTTCCGGTTGAGACACCAGCCCGAAGAACTGACCTTGGAAAGTCATTTTCTTCCTCTTTTCAGTACAGTTTTAAAAATTGAAATGTTTTTGGAATTGGAGAGACAAACCTAGGACTGCAGCTTATAGCAAAGAAAGGATAATCAGTCTGTTCAAAGAACCAGAGTTCTTCTCACAAGACTGATCAGGAACAGCTGGAAGTATGCCCAGCGAAGTCTATGGATTATGCGGTGATGGAACTAATTCATTGGCACCTGTTACTCTTCAAATACTTCACGTTATGGATTTACCAATTAATAAGACTAACCCTGACCTCACGGTGCCTACAGGCATATAGAAAAATTCCCATATGGTGTGATGGGAACAACAATATAGAGCATAGAGGTTTGGGGAGCAGGTGAAATTTCCTAGAGACCCAAGTAAACAGGTACCATCCAAGGAAGAGTACGTCAGGGTTGAGAAGTCAATGTCTCCTAAACTTCCACACTATACTTCCTGGTTTCCAACTACCTTACAAAGGTACGGCAATCAAAACAGTACGGTTCTTGCATAAAATTAGACATACAAACCAACCAAAACAGATTCAAGAGCCCGGAAATAAACCTTCACATATATGATCAACTAACATTTGACAAGGGAGCCAAGAACACTAAATGGGGAGAGGATAATCTCTTCAATGAATAGTGCTGGGAAAACTGGATAATCACAGGAAGATGGATGAAACTGGACCCCTATCTTATACCACTCACAAAACTAACTTGATATGGATTCAAGGCTTCCCCCAAACTTTAAAACTCCTGGAGAAAAACAGGGAAAAGGTCCTTGACAGTGGTCTTGGCAACGATTTGTTGGATGTGACTCCAAATATTGAGATCATTATTAAAGACTTTTGATCTGGAATTGAGTATAGCTATTTTAAGTATCAAACCTGGTTGTAAAACTTTCCACAAGCAAAATCATTTTCTCACTAAAAAAATTAACAATCCTTGGTGGCTCAGTTGGTTAAGTGTCTGACTCTTGATTTTGGCTCAGGTCATGATCTCACGGTCGTGGGATTGAGCCCCGTGTCAGTCTCCATGCTGACCACGGAGCCTGCTGGGGATTCTTTCTCACCCTCTCTCTCTGTCCTTCCCTTGCTTGTGCTCTCTCACTAAAAGTAATAAATACACATTAAAAAAAATTAATAATACTCAATTTGAATATTTTACGTAAACTTACTGTCATCTTTCTCAACATTTAATTTTCCTTGTAATTACATGATGCCAAAAAAAAGATTTTGTTCACCTTGTCCTATATAGATGCTCCGAGAATCCCTTCGGTCTACCCACAACGTGCTGTAAAAATACAACCATTTTCTGTCAGTGCCATGATGCAACAGTAGTCCCTTACACTTGAGCACATGATCTAATAGCTTAGGGAAGGCTTCTTTCCAACACTATCTTGAGTTAGGTGTGGAAGCTTCGAGAGAAACTTTCTTATGAGAATATTGCTTCAATGTACATATTTTTCAGTTTGCATGCTGTATCAAAAGCATACTCATTATGTAGTGTGTGAAGAATGTTTCCTAAAAAATTTGATCTTCAATTATGGATCTCAGTTCTCAAGATTGTTGCATGAATCCCATCTTGGGAGGATTGCTCATGGCTACCTCATTCCTCAGGATCCTCCCTCCTCTGGCAAGACCTAGAAAAATCTGGGCTCTGCAGTCTCCAAGTTGTTTGATATTAGCAAGCCACATTTTCTTATTTGGTTATTTGGCCACTTAAAGCAAAAACAATATAATCTAATTTTAGTATACTCTTTGGCTAATTTCACTATTTTCATTATTTTATTTAAAAAATATTCTCTTGGGGCCCCTGGGTGGCTCAGTCGGTTAAGCGTCTGACTTTAGCTCAGGTCATGATCTCTTAGTTTGTGGGTTTGAGCCCCGCATTGGGCTCTGTGCTGACAGCTCAGAGCCTGGAGCCTGCTTCGGATTCTGTGTCTCCCCCTCTCTCTCTCTGTCCCTCCCCTGCTCGTGCTCTGTCTCTGTCTCTCAAAAATAAATAAACATTAAAATTTTTTTTTCTTTAAATATTCTCTCTACTCTTTTAACTCAGTTGTAACATTTTATCTTATTTCTCCTAGTCTTACCCTATTGTGGAATGGGAAGACTGGAGAAGTGAAGGGGTTCAGACAAAGTCTTGCTGAGTTTCCCCTATATTATCATTGTTCATATCTGTGCTAGGCACATTCACATGCTATTGCCAGTCAGTAAACAATCCTACAGTATAGGAAGTAGTCGATCCAACTTACAGATAAGGACAGTGAGGCTCAAAATGACTTAGCAATTGCCCCAGGACACATCTCTAGTGAGCAAGTGAGGGTGTCAGGAGTTGCAGTAAGATCTGTTACATTTGGAACCTGTGCTCTGTCTACTCCCACAGTGTTTCTCAAACTTCAATACGCTTCTAAGACACTAGGCATCTTAAAATGTAGACTTCACAGGTCTGGGGTGGAACTTGAGAGTCTGCATTCCTGACAGGTTTCTAGGGGAAGGCAGGTGCTGCTCCCCAGACCACACTTGAGTTAAAAAGTGCACATGGTTTTAGGCTTCTCAGAGCACATGGGCATCAAGGAGATGGCCCAGATAGAGCCGTCGAGGTTATCGTTTACAGCTGAGTTAGCCCTCTTTCGCTGACTGGCTTTTGATCAGGGTTCCAATGGATGGCTAGCAAGAGCTAATTACAATCCTGACTAATTCACTGTCAGTTGTTATTCATTAACAAATTATGTTCCTGACAAACTGCTCGAGTGTGGTACCCTAAGTACTGTAATTAAAATCTTAGAAAGTTGCATGTGAGCTTAATTGATTTCCTTAATGTATTACTCAGACTAAACATCCCATTATTTTGTCTTGATGTTTATGAAGGGGCAGAAGTCTGCTGCCACCCAGGCAGCAGATACACGGGCTCTGCGTTAACAGGGAGCCTGCCCGCTTTGGGGGCCCGGACACTTGCCCAGGTAGCACTACCTGGTCACGGAAAAGAATTGGACTACTTTGCTGGAACAAGAGATGGAGCTTTTTCAATAGGTTATTTCTCATGCAGCACCAAGTAGCTGAAGGAGGACTCCCATCATCCGCCAGCTGCCCTCAGCATGATGTGTTTCATTTGTGCTTTCAGGCTCTCTCCTTGGTTCTGGAACCACAACCTGACGTGATTCATCCCCACTACCCTCTGAGTCACTTCCTGGGTCACTCTTCACGGTTCCCTCACCACAAATGGCATTATTTCTGCTTCTCTCAGACAAGTGCCTTTGCGTATACCTCAACCCAGGCCTCCAGATCATTTTACTCTCAGACTTGTGCCCCAGGCAACACAAAGTCCTTTCCTTCCAGTTTCCCGGGGTGATCCGACTCGGTGCCATCATCCTTGGTGAGCTACCTTCGGCAGTTTCCACTCGTTATCATGCATGTTTTTCTCTCCGGTAAACCAACCTTGTATCCTTCCATTGGACTGTCCTGTTGGTAGGACAAACTGGCTTTCCAGTTTCCAGTTTGTGGCTTTTAACACATAAAGTTCAACTGTTTATATACACATACTAGAAACCCAAACTATAAATTTCTATCATATTACTAAACAAAAACTGTGTTTGAGCTTAAGTTCAAAGAATCATGTAGACATTATTCATCTCTGCAAACTCCATTTTCAATTCTTATGCAGGATCCTGGAGCATTGATGACTTAGCTAATAAAAATGCTGTTGGAAGTTAAAAATCGCTCCTGGGGTAGTGCTACCTTTCAGTAAGAAAGTTCTTAAAAACACTTGACAGAACTTGGCTGCATCCCCTCAGCAGATTTTTCCCTCTATACAAGTCACTGTATGCACGCTGAAGAGGCAATGCAATCGTCAGAAAAGCTTCAACCGTTCTTTTCAATTTATTTGATATAAAAGAAAACATCTGGCTCAGGGTATGTGTCTAGAATACAAACTATTTGTGAAGCAGGTATGATGCTGGTACCTGGTAAAAGCAGAACTTCTTTTCTTCTCTTTTCTTTCTCTTCTTCCTTCCTTCCTTCCTTCCTCCCTCCCTCCCCCCTTTCTTTCTTTCTTTCTTTCTTTCTTTCTTTCTTTCTTTCTTTCTTTTTCTTTCTTTCTTTCTTTTCCTGGAACTGCCATTGGGAGGTTACTGGCAACTTTTAGTTTGGGGAAGTTGAGAAAGCTCTCAGAGTCTTTGGAACAGAGTCCTTTTGTCTTTGGAAGTTTTCCAGGATTGGCCCTGTAGTTATATAAACACGAAGCAAGTACCCACCCACTGTCCTTGTCGATAGCAGTGAGGTCACCATAAATCTCAATGCTGATGCTGCAGAGCAAGATGCCAAGTGCTCTGCCCAGTGATGTAAGTGGGGTACCTTCCGCCAGAACCATGCCCTTGAAGAGGGTGAGAAATGTTTTGCCTAAATGTGAATCTAGACCAGGACCACTGGTATACATAGTATTTAAAGAGTAAATGACACCAACTTTGTGAAACGTATTTTCAACTATTTGAGTGTTTTCAACACCGTAAAAAAAAAAAAAAGAAAGAAAGAAAGAAAAAGAAAAAGAAAAAAAAAAAGCAACCACCCACACACATACACATATACACAAGACATTTTAAATTTTAAAAGATATTGTACACTTTACAGAGTTTACCAGTAAACACATACCACAAATATTTAACATAGAGTTTCAGAAACAATACTTACCCTTGTGTTTAATGCTGACATTTCTATATATTCTATGTCTCTGTTTTAAGGTTGGCCGTGTTCCACTGAATTCATATTATGACCTTTTAATGGCTCATGATTTGCAGTTTGAAAAACTTCCAACTATTGTGATTGCTTTATATGGGTCCAGTGATCAATCTGTGGAATCCAAGAGATTTGGGGCCTTAGACTTTGAGGTTCAGGGACCTACAGAGATGACAACAATTTGCTTTAAAACACATCAACACAACCAGTTAGTTTTAGCTTTTGCCCTGGGAGTAGCTGGGGCAGTCAGCTGGCATTCTGATGTGCACTCGATCCACCAATGCGTTTGCCATCTGTACCTCAATAGTCAAAGCTTTGCTAATTTGCACATGGAATGTCAAAAATGGGTTTTTATTTTGCAAAATGGTGTCCTGTTGATCAGCATTACAAATGTCAGAAATGGGCTCTCATTAATGAAAAGTATTTTTTGTCAAATATATTTCAATTTAAAAAAGGTTTTTAAAAGTTAAAAAAAAACATTTGTAATAAAGCTATTTCCAGGAATGTGGAAACATGTATTCTTAATATGTAGGCTGGATAAAATATCTCCACCCTTGCGCGGCTATCAGAATCCAGACAGCCCAGTAACTACACTAGGGACACTTGATTGCTAAAAGGCATGCACTCCAGTGTGTGGCCATCGATGTGGAATATCCTTGTTGTCTGATATTGACTGAAAGGGTGACAGAATCCTGCCTCTGCAGTCTTGGCTTTTGTCTCCAGTGAACAGAAGTTCATGCAAGGTGTTCATCAGACCATCCAAAAGGCCAGACAGAGGCTGTGACTTCATCAAGCTTCCAGAATAGATAGCCGTGACCTGTTTTGTGCCTGCCTGCTAGTGAATGTGTGTTTAGCAAATGTCTGCTTGTGTGGCAGAATCTGGGCTGAGACTTGTTCCATTATAATATGGTAGCAAGGTTATGTGGAGTAGCAAACTGTTACCCACCTCAAACTTCTTTGTCTGACTAGTGTTATCTTTTAAAAAAAAATTTTTTTTTAATTTTTTTTTCAACGTTTATTTATTTTTGGGACAGAGAGAGACAGAGCATGAACGGGGGAGGGGCAGAGAGAGAGGGAGACACAGAATTGGAAACAGGCTCCAGGTTCTGAGCCATCAGCCCAGAGCCTGATGCGGGGCTCGAACTCACGGACCGCGAGATCGTGACCTGGCTGAAGTCGGACGCTTAACCGACTGCGCCACCCAGGCGCCCCTAAAAAAATTTTTTTTTTACATTTATTTATTTTTGAGAAACAGAGTGAGACAAAGCATGAGCGGGGGAGGGGCAAAGAGAGAAGGAGACACAGAATCTGAAGCAGGCTCCAGGCTCTGAGCAAGCGGTCGGCATGGAGCCTGATGTGGGGCTCGAACCCACAAACTGTGAGATCATGATCTGATCCGAAGTTGGACGCTCAACCGACTGAGCCACCCAGGTGCCCCTGACTAGTGTTATCTTTAAAAAAAAAAAAACGGCCGGGGGGGGGGGGCGCCTGGGTGGTTTAGTCATTTGAGTGCCCAACTTCAACTCAGGTCATGATCTCACAGCTTGTGGGTTCAAGCCCTCTGTGCTGACAGCTCAGAGCCTGGAGCCTTCTTCGAATTCTGTGTCTCCCACTCTCTCTGCCCCACTCCTAATTGACTCTGTCTCTCAAAAATGAATAAACATTAAAAAAAATTTTGAAGCAACTTTAAAAAACAAAACAAAACCCCCAAAAGGGGTGCCTTCGTGGCTCAGATGGTTAAGTGTCTGACTCTTGATTACGGCTCAGGTCATGATCTCACAGTTCGTGAGACTGAGCCTCCCATCAGGTTCTGCACAGATAGTGTGGAGCCTGCTTGGGACTATCTCTCTCCCTCTCTCTCTGCCCCTCTCCTACTCGTGCTCTCTCTCTCTCTCTCTCTCTTAAAATAAATATATAAACTTAAGAAAAAAAAAAAGCCCTGAGAGCTGTGATTACCAATTGATTAAATCCATCCAGTTCATAGGGCCCTTCCATAATTGCAAATCTATGTGAAGCATGAGGGACCCTCAGAAACAGGTTACTTTGGGGGAGAATGGTTGACAAATGTGACCAGCAGAACAGATCTATAGAGCATGTGAGTATTCTCTTGACTCAGAGTTCAGCTGGTGACAAAGACTCAGCAGAGGAAGGGTCTTCAAAGGATGGGGACATATGATAATTTTACCTTATTTTTAAGTTTTCATTTTAGAAGTCTGAGAGGAGATAATTTTATTTTTTTAATTTATTTTTATTTTTATTTAAAAAAAATTTTAATGTTTATTTTTTCAGAGAGAGACACAGAGTGCAAGCAGGGGAGGAGCAGAGAGAGAGACACACACAAGAATCTGAAGCAGGCTCCAGGCTCTGAACTGTCAGCACAGAGCCTGATGCAGGGTTTGAACCCACAAACTAAGAGATCATGACCTGAGCCAAGTGGGCCACCTAGGCACCCCATGATCATTTTACTTTAGATCACAAAGGGAAATAAGGCCTTATTTGGTAATCAGAGGCTGGGGAGGCCTGGAAATTCATAAGCCACATTTAAAATCGTAGTAAACAGTAAGAAGGATTTTGTTGACATTCTACTCTATTTAAACACTGGTGTTTTAGTTATGAAGTTTGCTTTCTCAGGATAATATTGTGGGAGGAAAAGTGGCAGGACTCCCTATGAACCTCAGATATATTCATGCTGAGTTTCAGACCTTCCTGACAAACAAAGGGATAGGCCATAACTGAGGAGCAGTGAGGAAAGGGCTTTCTGAATTACAGGACTATTTGGAAGGAAGCTAGTGGGAGAAGGTCTGAAAAGTGTCCAGGAGAGATAAAGACGAAACGAAGGATTTGTGATCTCCCTTGTGTATCACTTGCTGGGCCAGCCCATGAACTAGGTCTGAGCTCTCTGGGCTGCAGGCAGGACTAAAAGGAGATGGGGGGATATTGCTCCCAGTGTCCTGGACCTGGGGAATTAAGTGTAACCCAGCGAGGAAGAGGGATCTTCTCTCCATCGCCGTATGGATCCAACACAGAGAAGATTCAAGGAATTACAGAGCCACTTAGAAGCTAGAGAGTCTGGGTCTGCATCTTGGGTATCACTTAGAGACCACAGACAACAGTGTTGTCACCCAAAGCCCTGCCATCAGCGATAGTGCCGAGACATGACCACTGAAGGGCTTTTCTGTTGGTGGACATGGACTGTATAAGCCAGAGAGAAAGAAATTGAGATCAGTTTCATAGGCTCCTTCAGTTTGGGACAAGAGCCAGAATTCTTTGGTTATTGCCCACACTGAGCTCCATGATACCTATTTATACAAGACTTGAGGAAACTTGAGATAAATTTGAGGATCTCATTAGGATTGCAGTGATTATAGATTCTCCTTCAAAAATCGAGCCCGAGACAAGGGCTTGTGTATAAGCAGTTTATTTGGGAAGTGATCCAGGAAAGTAGGCCAAGAGGAAATGGCAGCACAGGAGTATATTATCCAGTTGGTCACTGCTGGGTTACTAGGGCTCGACCCACTAAGACCTTTTAAGGAGCCATATATATAATATGTCTCCATTATCCACCAGCTCTCATCCCCCATTAGAAAAGGGATGCCCCATTGGGCTTTAACTCCCCTGCCCTTTTAGGTTGTGCATGCCTGAGTGGGTCTCCATAGCCATCTCACAACACAGCATTAAAGAAGTCCCAGGGCAGAAGGCCATGATGCAGATGAAGTGAGGCGCTGTCAGAATATGTTTGCACAAAGCTAGCTGTTGCAGCAGGGGCTGGAGTAAAAAGGGGGCTGAGAAGATGTGAGGATGGTAAGTGGTTCATACCAAGTGTCTGATATTGTACATCTCTTGCACTGCTCACATCCACTCTGCCCTACATTAAGTCCCATTCAGCAGGCAGCATTCAATGTGGGGAGACTTCCACAGTCTCCACAAGGGACTTAATACAGGAAGCTTCCTGGAAAAAGCTACAGTCCCTAGTGCTGTAACTGGTGTTGCAGGAAGGGGTCTGATAGTGTCCATCTGCTACCAAGTGCCTGGCTCATACTTTCCCCATACCTTCATAAGAAAGGGGTACCTTTATAAGAAAGGGAAATTGTCAATTATGTGAATTGGAATTCAATTTCAAGTAATAGACAACTGACCCCAAATGGCTTAAACTGAAAAAGTGAACTTATTCAGTCATATAACCGAGCAGTCCAGGAGTAGATATGGATTCAGATGGGGCCCAAGGCAAAATGTATGTGGTATTGTTGCCATGGAAGAGAAGGGCGGGGGGGGGGGGGCGGGCGGGAAATAGGTGTGTATTTCATCAATATTTAAAATGTTTGCCAATACGATAAATGAAAAAAAAGTTATTTGCACTTCCCTAACCAATGCTGGTCTAGTGGTTGAAGTGGGATTTGAACACAAGCCAGCTAATCCAGAAATGCATATTCTTTTACCAATACCCTATGCTATACCTTTCACATAGGCTTCATTTGGAATCCTGAACTAGAAAAAGGCAAGAAAGAAATAAAACACTGTCTCTCATATCTATGAAGATGATAAAAGATTTAGAAACTTTACCTGGGAAAACTTAATGGAAATGGGAACTGTTTTTCTTAGGGCTAAGTTTATAAAGGCTATGAAATAATGCAACATCTTAAGAACTTTAAAAAAAAATTTTTTTTTAAATGTTTTTATTTATTTTTGCGACAGAGAGAGACAGAACATGAGCAGGGGAGGGCCCGAGAGAGAGGGAGACACAGAATCGGAAGCAGGCTTCAGGCTCTGAGCTGTCAGCACAGAGCCCGATGCGGGGCTCAAACCCACAGACTGTGAGTGAGATCATGACCTGAGCCAAAGTCGGACGCTTAACCGGTGAGCCACCCAGGCGCCCCAACATCTTAAGAACTTTTAAGGGCCTTTATTGAATGAAAATCATGAAAAGATTCAGACCCACTGGCAGAAGAGGCAAGGGACTGAACTGGAGCCAGAGGGAATCTACGTAGTCACAACAATCACATCTCTTAACAGAAAAGGTACAACACAGGGACAGGTGTAGCGGATGGGTAACTTGTTTGTCTACCCTCAAGATCCCAGTTCATGTGGTCCTGATGGAACTGTGAATAATGATGCCA